CTGCGTTGGCGGTTCCCGAGCCGAGCCCGGCGGGGAGGTGGGGGCCCGGGAGGGGCCCGATTCCAGAGGAGAGACCGAGGCCATCGAGAACCGCCCGAGACGGGAGGGAGAGCAGAGCTAAAGGGCGGCTCTTCAGCGTGGATTCCTGGGGGCAGTGGGCTGCCCTCCTCTCTTGCCTCATCACCTGTCAGGTGGGGGCCTGGCATCTGTTTCTCAGACGGCGGCTCCCTCCAGCGCGGGCGTGGAGGGAGGCTGTGTGCCCGACCGGCCCTCACCCACCGCCCGGAAAGCAGCTCCCCCTGCGAGTGGTGTGGTGCCCGAGCGGGGCCCTGAGCCCTGGGCCCTCAGAGCGGAACTGACACCCAAACTCTCCTCCGCCCGCCGCTTGTCTCTGCTCCTGCGGCTGGGAGTGGGGCGAGAGGGCCACCCAGCAGGCTCCGTTCCTGGCGCTGCTACTTAAAAGCCCGGGCAAACCCTGCGTCCCGTGTGCAAGCCGCCCACGTGGAGTGTCCCACCGCCTCCCGCGCGGGGCAGCGTGGGATGGAGGGTTCGGGTGGCCGTGGCCGTCGGGGCCCCTCTCGTGGGGCAGAAATGCTTCCTCGTGGAGGAGGTCGGGAGTGGGGAAGCCGAGCAGAAAACGTCCTGTTGCTCCGAGCTCAGTGATGTGGGGAGGGTCGTGGGTCCGTGAACCATCAGAGGGCCCCAGCCCCTCTCTTTGCAGCCGGACCCCTGGTCTTTAGGCTCGGAAGAGAGAGCCAGGCCTGGAGGCTTCGAGCTCCCAGTGCCCTGATCTCTCCTGCCTCCCGGGTCGCGGGCTGCAGGCTCAGCGTGTCCCCAGGTCTCTGGAGAGCTGCGTCCGGACAGGGTGGCCTGAGCCAGCCCTACTCCGCTCAGCCCCAGCCAGACAGCGCCCAGGATGGCTTCAGAGAGCCCGCCCTGAACCCAGAGCTGAGACTCTCCCGCGACACCCCATACTCTGCTGATGGCGTTACCTCCTGCTGGGACAGGGGGGTCTGTTTTATGCCCATTTTACAGGTGGCATAATAGTGCCTCAAGGTGGGTCAGGACTGTTCAAGGTCAGTCAGTGAGGAGGGCGGAGCCAGGACCCAGACCAGGTGGGCCTGCTGCCCGCACACCACATCACCTGCTCAGCCAATCTGCGTCCCAGGCCCCTGTTCCCACGAGCCACCCGTCCCCAGTGCCTTCTTTCTTTCCCGAGTCCGTCCCCCGTGCCTGTGCCGAGAGCCGCCTTGGGCCTTCCTCCCACAATCGCGCCTGCGCGGCCCCTCCCTGGCCCGGGACACAGCTTCCCTGGGTCCTCTGTTGCCGCCGTGTCTACGGATAAAACATGAGGTGACACTGCAGCAGGTGGCAGTGGGCCTCGCCGATCGTCCTCCGAGTGCCCTTGGCTGTTGGGATGTGGAAGGTCATTTCCCAGAGTCCTAGAGAGTCTGTGGGTCCACGGAGTCTGGGGGACCAGCAGTTCCTCCTCCTAGACAGGCGAGGAAACCGAGGCACGAAGAAAGGCTAGGGGGCCAGCTGGTGGGTGGTAGGGAGTGGGGTCAGCCCTGGGTGAAAGCACTCTTTCTTCCCCCCACCCGCCCTGGCCTGTCAGACCCGGCCCCTCCGAGCTGGGCTGCAGGGACGTGACCAGCAGCTGGCGGCCGCTGTGCACTCTTCCTCCGGCCCCGCCCTGATGTCTTCCCCGGGCGTCCGGGCTTGGCTCATCGCGGTCATTAGGTTTTCCATTGTTGCCTCGGCATTGTCTGCCTGATTGTTTACCAGCCTTCTGGGCGCTCAGATAAGAAACGCCTCCCTTCCTTCGCCTTCTTTGGCGATCTCCATCGGGGGGCCTGGAAAAACACGGTCAGTGCCTGCGCAGCCCCGTCACGTGGCCGGCTGAAGCGAGCCGAGGCCGTGGCTCTGGGACGGGATAGGAATGGCCAGGTCGGGAGGGAAGACTTCCTCTCCTTAAACAGACCTTAACTCGGAAGCTTGATGACAGTGGTGTCTCGGCGAAGAGAGGAAAGGGAGACTGGTTTAACCTTGGTTTAACCTTGGCTCCGGCCAGTGGGACGGGAGTGAGGGCCCCTCGCCCTCCTGCAGGACCCCAGCTCCCTTCTCCCAGCAGAGCCTGTGGTTTTCACTCTGGGTTTGGCCGTGAGGGTCCGCTGTCTCAGGAAACCCTTCGCAGTTCAGATGCTCATCGCCCCATCGGGGCTCGTGTGTTTGGGGCCACTTGGTCTTTTTTTAGCTCGATAGCCTGTTTTTACTAAAGTTCACCCAGGGATGTTTTCCTAGAGAAAGGCTTATTGCTGGGGACTGGGGGGGGAGGGATATTTAAAAAGTAGTCATATTACCCGGCTGGTGTGACTCAGTGGTCGAGCGTCGACCTGTGGACCAGGATTTGTTTGATTTCCAGTCACGGCACATGCCCGGACTGTGGGCTCCATCCCCAGTGTGGGGTGTGAGGAGGCAGCTGATCAATGATTCTCTCCCATCATTGATGTTTCTATCTCCCTCTCCCTTCCTCTCTGAAATCAATAAAATTATATGTATTTTTAAAAAGTAGTTGTATCGGTGAGGGTTTAAATGCCAATTTCACCACTTACTTCTTTGCGGCTCGGTTCTACAAATGACCATAATGCTTGTTGGGAAAGAAGGTGCGTGATGAATGTTAGTTCTCCTTTCTGCCCAAGGAGCCTCTCCTACACATGCACACTCACGCACACACATGCACATACACATGCACACTCACGCACACACATGCACACTCATATGCGCACACTCACACATGCATGCACACACAGATGCACATGCACATTGCACGCACGCATGCACATACATGCGCACGCACATGCATGCACACTCACATGCATACACATGCACACGCACACATGCACGCACACTCACACGTGCATGCATACACAGATGCACATGCACATTGCACCCATGCACGCATGCACATACATGCACACACACATACGCGTTTGAGCGCCCGGCCTGAAAAGGAGCAGCACTGAAGGGGAGAGACCCACAGGCCTGCTCACCGCATGTGCACACACACATGCACACTCGCACATGCATGCACACACAGCTGCACATGCACACTTGCACGCATGCACATACATGCACACATGCACATGCACACATGCACATGCACGCACACACATACGCGTGTGAGCGCCCGGCCTGAAAAGGAGCAGCACCGAAGGGGAGAGACCCACAGGCCTGCTCACCGCATGTGCCGGGGGAGCTCCCTTTAAAATCGCTCTTCTAACCACTCGCGGGCAGAGGTGCTCTGTTGTTACTGCGTCTACGAGTGACGTGAGCGGACAGTGGCGTGGGTGACGTGGCCCTCCCTCATCTCCTCTGAGTGGCCGCGGCTGTTGGGCTGTAGGACGTCATTTAGAGCCCCCGAGTGTCCATCAGGCCGAGGAGCTGGGGGACCAGCTGTCCCCCCTCACGAACGCTGTTGGGCTGGACGTCATTTAGAGCCCCCGAGTGTCCATCAGGCCGAGGAGCTGGGGGACCAGCTGTCCCCCCTCACGAACGTGATGAGGAGACTGAGGCCTGAGAGGGTGGGAAGGGGCAGCGTGAGTTCAGCTGTTCCCTGATGGGGGGGGCACGGTATGGGGGTCCGCCCTGGATTGAGACCACCCTTCCCCCTCCTCACACCCGAAACCTCCTCCGTGGGGGTCCCCTTGCTTCTGGGCGTTGGCTCAGCCTTGGCGAACTCGGAGCGGAGCTTGTTTGCTTTGGATGGTTAAGCAGTTTTATTTCTTATAAAAGGAAATGGAGGAGGATGGGAGAGAGGGAGACACAGAGAGAGAAGCCAGGAGGCCAAAGCCCCTCTGGCAGGTGAGGCCCCCAAGGCGCCCGTGCTGTGGGCGTGGCCCTCTCGCAGGCCGCGGTGCTCACCCTGCTTGGAGCTCACCCTAACCAGGAGGCCGTTCTCGTGCTAATGCCCAGCTTCTCGTTGGCTTGTTTCCAGAGCAAATCATGGAGGAAGATAAAGAACATGGTGCACTGGTCTCCCTTCGTCATGTCCTTCAAGAAGAAGTACCCCTGGATCCAGCTGGCGGGACACGCAGGTAGCAGCTCCCCGGGTTTTCCCTGGGGGTCGCCCAGCTCGTGGGGGGAGGGGCTTGGGAGTTTGGGGGTGAAAGTGACCAATCAGGTTCTCTGAGACTCGCAGCGGCAGCGGCAGCCATGCTCTCGAGATGTGGCCCTAACGCTGCTAGCAGATGCCCAGGGACAGCTGCCATCCCCTCCCCAAACACGCACCCCCCCCCAGTCTCTGTCTCTTAACTCGATAAGACAGATGACGTTGTAGGCCCCCATTTGTCATCTGGGACAAGGAGGCAACATCTACGCCTTCATTGAGCATCTGCTGTACCCCATCGCCCGGGGTCGCAACATCAATGAAAATGCAGTATCTGCTGGAAGGAGGCCGTAGGTGGGAGATGGGTGGCATGCTGGGTGCGGGTGCCAGGGCACCAGGCAGCCACGTGGCTCTAGTTTGCTTCTCAGTGACAGGGAGGAGGGGCACCTGGAGCCGAGCCCGGAGCTGCCCGGGCCACGGGGCCCTTTGGTGGCGTCCTCCAGGGCATTCGGTGGCTGTCCATGGCCTGGCCTTCATCAGCAGCCAGCACGGGGCCTGGCGTTTCTCTTATACCCCAAGCACATGGGCGCAGCCCAGGCTCGGGAATGGATGCACTCCCTAGACGCCCCCTGAGAGCGTGCTCAGCAGGGGCATGGCCAGGGGGGCGAGCGTGGACCCGGCTCTCAGCCAGGCTGCTGTCCTGGCACCTAACCAGTCCTAGCGGGGTTTCTCCTGAGACCAGAGACGCCTTCGTTGCCCGAGAAGCAGGAGTGATGATGGGGGTGGAAGGGGGATGGCAGTGGAAATGCAGAGAGAGAGTAAGTCTTGGCACAGACCTGCCCCTGGCCCTGCCGCCCTCCAGCAGTGAGCACTGGTCCCTCCATCGTCAGATGGAGTTGCCGTCAGTGTGGGGGGTCTGGGATGTGCACCCACTCCTCTCAACGTGCTCGGTCCACAATGGAGACCTTCAGCCTGCGCTTAGCAAGCCCGAGGGGACAGGCCCGGGGCGTGGGGCCAGTGGGGAGCCCTGCGCTGAGGCCCTCGCTCTGCAGGGAGTTTCAAGGCGGCTGCCAACGGCCGGATCCTGAAGAAGCACTGTGAGTCGGAGCAGCGCTGCCTGGACCGGCTGATGGCCGACGTGCTGAGGCCCTACGTGCCGGCCTATCACGGGGACGTGGTGAAGGACGGGGAGCGCTACAACCAGATGGACGACCTGCTGGCCGACTTCGACTCGCCTTGCGTGATGGACTGCAAGATGGGCGTCAGGTGAGCCAGGCTCCTCCGCGCTCGCGCCTCCAACCGCGCCAGGCCCGTGGCAGATACCAGACGGCATCCGGGCGCCCCCGAGGCCTCGTGGGTGCATGGGCGGGCCCGGGGGTCTTGTTGGACCCCATCCCCACCCCAGCCATGTCCCATTACATGCAGAGGAGACCGGGACCCTGGCTTTGACCCCGATGGCTCCCCCACTCGGGTGAGCTAGGGTGGGGCGGGAGCACTAGCTGGTGGGGCCGGGGTTGGTGCTCAGTGTCCCCAGGGAGGGGCAGAGGCAACTGCCCGTCCGGTCCGGGGGCTGCGGGGGTAGCACGGGGTGGCTTCCTGTTACGTGAGCTTCGAGGGGAGGCTCTTCCCATCTCCCAGGTGCTCCAGGCCCTGGGCCCAGCACATTGGCTAAAAGGGTCACCCGGGCCCGTGCGCAGCATTGGGCCACCCCCTCCTCCCCAGGACGCAGGCTCCCCTGATGTCTGCCCAGGACATAAGCAGGAGAGGAGCTGGGAGGGGGGAGGGGAGGAGACTGGGCCGGAGCCTGGGTGCGAGGCGAGTGGAACCGGAGGCGCTGAGACCCCCGCCCTCAGCCCTGGGCCCTGTTGGCTGCAGAGTTTTCTCGTCCCCTCCCGAACTTGGACCCTCAATCCCGGGATCGCCATGCGACTCCCTCTCCTGCTGGGCCCAGGGTGGGGGCTCGGCGTGGCTGTCGGTCTCATGG